CTATTTGTTCAAGTTTATGATCATTATCGTTTTATAAATCACTTTTGTAAGAGCAAGACATTGTTTATTCATTTTAATCTCACTCATCCTCCACCTCAGGTCTTTATGATCCAAATTCTGGAATCAAATTTACTTGATTTTAAAGAGGATATCATAAGCTTTTCTAAATCGAGGTAATCAAATTAACGCTATCGGGAATCCAGACGATATTTTTAACTTCTTTGAATTAAATTTGCTAGTTAATGACAATGTGTGCAACGATTTAGACAATTTATAAATTGCTTAAAAGAGCTTACCTTTGGCTTCGATAACAATCACCCATAAATTCGCAAAGGTAAATAATATAATGTCTTTAATGCTTGAGGCAATGTCAAATGAATAAAGCCGTACATCTCCATCAACTTCATGACATTATTTAAGGTAAGTTAACTGAACAGATTTTTCGTCATAAATGTCGAACCACGCGGTTATTGGTGCATGTAATCAACAAATTCATTTTTTTAAAATTTATTCCTATTCATCGAATCGGGGAATGGAATTTTCATGAAACTCTACAACGGAACATAGAGAAAAAATATTTTTAACGGTTTATGTTCACGACGAACCAAAGACAACTTCAAATTTTCAATCCGTGGGCATTAGTAGCACCATTCAAATTCTGGAAATATTATTCCAGGGGGCTAAATTGTTTTATTAACTTGTTATTAAATAAAATTGTACGAAAATTTTTAAATTCAATCACCCAAGGCAGTAAGTGCGTTCGATTGATGATTCTTTTGAAGGTGAGTTAAATTTGAAAAGTTCACGTCCTGACAGTTTGACAAGGCTTTCCAAATTGCCTCCTGTGCGCATCTGATCATGTTAGTGTATGACTGACTAAATTGATTTAATTCAATGCTTTTTACAAATATTTTTATTTTTCAGAACTCTGCCAATATCACACGTGCTCAATTACTTCGTCGATTCCTATTAAAATTAAATTAGACTTTAACATCTGAAATTGTGCCTTGAATAATTGTTACTTTTGCATTAAAGTCCTTCTATTTGAAATTATAAGTAAGGATATAATTAAGAAAATTCTGATGGTTTAATGACTCTAATCTCCCTTGGGAATAACGAAAGAATTAAATTTTTGAAAAAATAATTGTCATGAGCTAACGCTGAAAGAATCATCGTGTTCTGTCGAATTTTTAATCGTTAATTAAATGGGTTTGAAATCCCAATCAAGCCCTCCTCATTTCAAAAACTTGCTTTTTCTTGCACATCGTAAAAATATCTTCCCTTCAAAGACCTTTTCAATTAGTTGCAGTATCAATAAACCTCCTTTATCACACGATTCATCTAAGGAAAAATCATTCAACGCACAGTTTTAGAAAGCCAGGCAATGACCATGATTTTCCCATCATACTGGTGGTATTACAGTAGTATTTTATAATCTCTCAATGTGGCATTATAGTTTAAATAGTGACTTTTTATTAACAAAACTTACATTTTTTATATGGGGTTGGATAAGTAATGGAGAATAGGCACTGGATTCTACTCCACGGGTGTGGTCTAGCATATTGGTGGGTGCGCATGGGATGGTAATCAATTGGACAGCGCTGTGCGGCATGAGAGCTGATCCCATTGTACTTTTCTCCAAAGTGCAGCAAAAATGGTTGAGTAGGATTCAATGATTGTAAAGTAAAGTTCAAAGAGTGAAATTATTTGCAATCACGAATGGGAATGAAAATTGCCTTAAATATTTGCTTTATTAAGTTTCCAATCAAATTGCACCTTCAAATTCATGAGTCAATGCAAAACGCACAAAATCTTGGCCTAAATGTGCGAAACACCTGCATTTTCAAAATAATATAAAGTATTTATAAGATAAATGTAATTCGGGACTAAGATTAAAACTTGTAAAGTTATTATTAAGCTTAATGCAGCCTTAATGCTCTTAATTTTTGTTTTTCAAATTGAAATAATTTTGATTCCTGCAAATATGAAATTCGCGCAGTCTAATTGGTACTAATTCCAAATAATCAGTGATGTCGTTATTTACTCTATTTCCCAATAGGTTTTGTAATAAAATAGTCTTGAATCTCTCACACTGACGAACTGACCTTGTTGTTGAACACAGTGGAAACTTGAAATTAATGGAAGAGAAACTTTTTGATATTAGCCTCACAACCTGTAAGATGGCGAAATCAGTCAGGTCAAGAAAGAACTAGGAAAAATCTTATACAAAGTGATTGTTAAAAATTTGAATCCTAACGTCAAGTTAGCTATTGGTTGTAAATCTGTTCTATAAAGTGACTTTTGTAGCAATGCGATGAAGCGGTAAGAACATGTTGGTTTTGGCCTTACCTTTCTGAGAATTAGCTGAGCTTTCGTAGCATTTCCGATTTCGATAAGTGAGTGTATCTTTCAAGAACTCGACCTGAGAAGGCGTAATTGTCTAATGTTATCAACTTGCACAAAATTTAATGCAATTCAACTTTTCAGCATTGTAGCACAATTTAACAAATATACAGAATTAACATTAATTTGCATTAAAATTGCTTATTTTATTTTAAAATAATTATTCATTTTCTTCCAACAGTTAATTATTAATGCAATTATGGAGGCGATTAAGCAAATTAAGAAAGTGCTTTCCTTTAAAACGTTTTGTTTCGAAATTTCAATAATTTCCTTTATCTACTCCATAAAATTTTGTTCCACCATGTGGGGCTTTGATTGGGATGAATCATTCTCATGCCAAATTTTCACTTAATTTTCTCTTTGGTTCCACGTGGAAGTCCAATATCCAGAACTGCTTTTGATTGTTTAGGCCGATAAGTGCTCTCTGCTTCAACTTTGCAAAGGAAGCATTAATGTCCCAGAATTGACTTAGATTCCCCGGCAAAAGATAACCTACAATGCACGACTTGGTAATTATTAAAAAAAATAAAGTTTGAAATTCATCCAGGCATATATTATTGTTGTCTGATAGAGAAGAGTTATTTTAAGGTAGTAACAATTATATGGGGATTCAATAATGATATATATATATATATAAGTTTGAAAACCTTCTTGAATAAAGAATACCTATATCTTAAAAACGTAAGCTTTTAAAGTGCCAGAAACAGAGTAAGTCAATCAAATTCCACTGCTTGAAAAAATTAAATTTTGAGGAAGGAAGCAAGGATCGGACTTTCAGACGTCAATTTCAAGAACTACTATCAGTTCTTGGAGACCCGTCGATTTATGTTAATTTGAATTTAAGTATGAATAAAATTTGTGGAACAAAATGACTAAATAACGAGAATCCTGTTTTGTCAGATAGTGAAAAAAAATTAAATGACGTAGCCTATCTCATGTTTTTCCCAAAATAAATTTGTTTTAGCCATTGACCACTCACCGGATACGCTCATTAGTAGCGAGCAATTTGCGACAAATTGTTTCATTCCTGCCTCAATCGTATGTCAATATTTCACCAGATCACTCCCTATTCTGATTTGCGTCGATTTCATTGTGACACTTCTTCCTGTCTTGCTAGTCGAAGGGTAAGCTATTTGTCTTTTCCAACTGCAATCCTCACTCTTCTATCCACCTTCAAGTCACTTTTTATTTAATTTATATAAGGTGAGATGTTCTTTGTGTGATGCGTGACTTCCTCAGGAATATTATTAATATGATGTGCACTGTAATATATGCAAACTAATGAAATTGAATGTGACTTCATTTATAAGCTATAATTATTGCAAATGGATAGCGAGGATCGGTCCCATCTTAGAAGACACCAGTTATCTTTAAAAGGCGAATGAAGGCGTTTAGTCTGGAAGTAGAATTCACAAGGCAGGTGTCGTAGGTGAGGGATGACTATGCAAACAATGCGGTTATTTCTCCTTGCTTATTTTCTTTGTTTTTCTTTCCATATATATAATCATATCCATCATTCCATTTTGGCTCAGTTACACAAAATAAAGGAATTTTGGCGACAAAAGTATTATTCGAAGGTTGTGAAGTTTTCAGTCCCAACAACTATCCTCTTCTTATCCAGGCATCCACTCACCGAAAATACGCGATTCAATGTATTGCGTAATCTTAGAGTCACTCCTTCATTTCCCCATCTGACAACCAATTTAAGTATTTGGTAAAGCTGAATTTTGTTCACATAAGCACAGGATTTGACTCGATGACATGAAAATACTGACGCTAAGTATTGGCCATAAGCTATCGCGACTATTTGACCCAGGAAACCACGATCCAACACTCAGTGTCCAGGCTTCTTCGCAATCATTAGAGCAGCCGAAGAAATTCTAATCCCCTGAATTTATTCAGAACCTCCTTTAAGACGAACCTTGCTGCCCGCAAGTAACTCCCTGTGAATTCTCGTGACATCGTATATCGGTATTGCGAATATTTCTAATCGGTAAAGAGGACTATCCCACCAGTAACTTAATCCTTTAACTGATTTCCTGTTCACAATTATGATTGGCGTCCCGTTAGTATACTGTAACAAGCAAGCTTCAAAACGACAAAAACCCTTTCTAATTTGAATACTCTGAAGGTAGTGAACAAGCAGTCCTGGGTTGCGTGCTATCCTACCAAACCTAGAGATAGCGTAATACCAGATGCATCCCACTAAGTAGTACTATCCAGTAAAAGTCCAAGCAATTCCCAAACAAAGCTCGGTAAAAAATTCGAGACGTGGAGAAAGAGACGCTCTAATTACACTGGGTAGTACTGTCATCGTAATTGTTGCAGTTAGTGAAGAAAATAGGGCAAAGAGAAGAGAGAGCGGAGGGGGTAAGTAGAGGAAAAGAAAGAACGGCGAGTCCTGTATTCACGCTTAACCGCAGTTGCTTGAATGAGATGAGCCCATTAAGCTTAAAGAGGGAGATAATTCGGCTACTAAAATGTGAAATGAGGCAGAAGTTAAGATATATGGCGAAATGAAGGTGAGAGAGCGCGCGCGATAAAGAGAAGATAACGTTGGTGCCTGATTCTTAGGTTGAATATAGAGGAGAAGTCTTTCATCCCTGCCCGTAAGAGTTCTGTAAGCTAAGATACTGCATGACCAACGTAGGACCAAGTGAAACTACTTCATTTGGAATCTTCGATAGAGGACAGTTTTCGATGGACATTATCTGCAACTTGCGGCACATTGCCAATTCCGATGGCAAGTCGTGTAGATTGTAATTGTCATTCAGAAAGAGAGTCTCCAAGTTAGACAATTTCCCTAGAAAGTAAACAAAAAAAATATTATTTATGAGTTACTTAAATAATTATAAGTAGAGAGGACAAACAAAAAAGCATACCAATAGCAGGAGTCAAACTTTGCAAATCATTTTCCCCTACTTTTAAGAAGGTAAGATTGTGGAGATTTCTAAACGAAAAAAAATATTCAGACTTGATTAACGAAATCGCAATTTAGACTTGAATGATGAAACCACAAGTTGAGAGTACCCTATGGAAGCAGGAAGAATAGTAAGGTTATTTGTTTGCACTATCAAACGCTGAAGTTCGGGTAAATTGCCTAAAGTCAAAAAGTGCATGATAGAAGCAGTACAAACAAATTTTAACCAGATGAAAGACAGAGTAATAATTACCTATTTCAGTAGGTAGACAGTCTAACTTGTTCTCTTCCAAATCGAGAACTCTCAATTTGCGTAGTTCTTGGACTGAGGGAGGAATTCGCTAGAATGGAAAAGATATATTACTGATCATCAAGATAAGCAGGTTTATTATTAGAGAAACTAACTTTAAGCTGGTTACTACTGAGAATGAGCACTTCCAAGTTGATTAAGTGGTCGATATCATCAGGGAGCTTGGTGAGTTGATTAGAACCCAAATTAAGCTCCATCAAACTGGTCCAGGTTTTCATGTCTACAAAAAAATCGCAAGAGGACATTAGTAACTCCTAAGAAAATCTTAAACTAACCAGATAGATTTTTATTTCCGCTACAACAATGGCATCTAAACTTTTAACAGACTATTAAAGGGGATAGATGCATGGAACAGAAGCAGATAAATGGCCATTCTATGCAATGAGTCAACTAAGCGTGCTAAAGAGATAATTTACCATGCTAAGAACACGGATTACAATTTAATTAATTTTTAAGATATGTGAGTTGTTAAACTATGTTGGGTTTCGATTTCAAGCAACATACAACTTTTCGGAAAACTCACTCGCAACACTCCCTTTTGTAACTTCTTAACCGAAACAAGTTCGGCAGATTTATATACTCCCTTTCAACTCTACACCTATAAATATTCAGACGTAACCTTATATCTAATCCGAATACAAAACTCTAGATCCACCACAGATCTAACACATTCAATTCCTAAAGTCAAGGCCTTCAATCAGCTTCAATACCTTCTGCTTTTGAAACCCACCCCATGTAAAGTATCGTAAAAGCATCATGCTTAACGAACTTCTTTGCCTTCCTATTGTGTGTGGCTTTACTCCTAGTTACCTTGACATCCACCATATAACAAATAGTAACCCCCCAGTCAAATCAGAGTACAATAACCTTTTCACAGGTGGGTAAGTTGTGGCCATCAAAATCGATTAAATGTAACCGCTTACCGGGTGGCAGAGCGGCCAATTGGTTGTTAGTCATGCTGAGCTTAGCGAGATGAGTTGCCTCGGAGAAAATACCAAAGGGGATCTTTGTTATTTGATTGTGATCCATCGAAATATCCTATTATCGGAAGCAAAAGAACTGAGTATGTTTGAGCACATTGTTTGACAAATAAAATGTGCCCAGTGCCAAGACTATCAATCTAAGCCCTTGTGCTACTTATAAGCAACATACACACTAAATGAAGAATATAATTTAACTTCCAGCAGTTAATGTCCGATCCCAAATTAAAGATACTTCAATTGATACATACTGCTTGCAAACTGATATAGGTAGCAATTACTAACCTGGACAGTGGTGAACTGGACTGGTCTACCAGGAGGAAACACAGTGAAACAGTTACGGGAAAGCGAGAGGCTGGAGAGATTTGTCAGATTCTCCAGAAGGTCCTTCTATTGAGATAGAAATTAGAAAGCAATCACCATTATTTTAAAACAAATAAGAATGTTGTGAAGACCGTCGTATTATAAAGTGTGTGTTACAAAGAACAAACATAGGGGAGGGAAAGACAATGTTAGGCGCTGAAGGTTTAACCCGATTTTCTATTAGAAAGCTAATGACTTACTTGAGAACAATCATCCTTTCGCCTGTTTTTGGAAAAGAATTGCACACACTAATTACAGCGCACAAAGTATCTCTTCTACATAATTTTTATCAAGTTAGGTAGAGTTATGTAAAAAAAGATATGATGAAAATGTGAGCCTATGAATTACTAACAAGAAACTATACCTTAATTTGGTGACTCAGGCGGATATCTCAAGCTTTACACTTACACCAGTAAAGACTAGAACTTTTCAGACACCAAATTTGAATGAACTCTAATGAGCTCCGTTGTGCCTTTACCAGTTTCATTTAAATTCCCCCCCCCCCCCCCCCCCACCTATAACTTCTTTTGCTGGTCTATTTGCTCGTCCGCGAAATCAAATTCCATCACGCGAATAAAAGTTAAATAAGCTGTTTACTCACAGTACCATTGGGGAAGATGTGATAAGTTCTTTACTAATCGGAATCAGCCTGTGAATATATGAATGATTTGTATTATAACCCAACATAAATCTACACCGAATTTGGATATGAAACACTTGTATGCAAAGATTGGAGAACTTACAGGAAGTTGGGAAATTTTGTTATTTTCAATGCTGAGGTCGGTAAGTCGAGTACAGTGGGATAGGGATGCGGGTAGAGCTTCTAAACGATTGTACCTACAAGAAGCGAACAAAATTATGTCAATGTTCTTAAAGGCCCTGAAATCAAAGAGACATCAATAAAAGAATATGTTAAAAAGTTAGTTCAACAGTGGGGGTACGATGGATGGAAATTAAGCTAAAAGGAACTTACGTAATACCTAGACGCTCGAGATGGGACAAATCTCCAATTGATTCAGGAAGGGAAGAAAGCTCGTTGGTCTGCACAAAGATCTCCGTCAGATTTTCACACTGACCAATCTCTTTGGGAAGGCTTTCCAAGTGATTCTTGGCAACATCGAGAGAAGTTAGTTGTTTCAATTCGCAGATACCAGGAATTGAGGGTAAGCTGTGAATCTTGTTTGCTCGTAGATTCAACATCTGTAACTTCTGTAAAGATAACAGAGTCAATTCGTTAGTTATTAATCTTCGAATACACGGTCCAAGGAAAAAAGCTCACCGTAAGTCGTCCAATATCCTTTCCAACTTCACGAATACGATTAAAACTAAGGTAAATTTGAACGAGACTCTGCATTCGATAGACAACAGGTGGTATTTCACAAAGTTTGTTGTGCCGAACATCAAGAATTCTTAGTTGAGTGCATTCAGAGAGGGTATCGGGTAGTGAAGTCAGGGAGTTTTCTGCTACCATAAGAATGTTCAGCTGTGTCAGTGCACCAATTTCATCTAGGGTAGAACAAGAATTTTAAATAGGCATAGAGACAAGAGATGAGATTAAGTGATAAATTCGAATTACTGGGAAGATTAGAGAGCTTATTGGTATAGAGGGAGAGTTCACGGAGATGGGAACCAAGGTCTCGAATGTTGGAAGGTAAAGCATGCAACTGAGTATTGTTCAAATCCAACCGGGGACTGCATTCATCTCGACATTTGCTAATTTCTTTCATACAATTCTAAAATACAAGGAATTTGAGTTACTTAAGTGGATTTAAGTAGAATATAAAACTCGAGAAATATTACCAAGAGTTAAAGGTGAATATGTTGGTTGGACAAAAGTAGAAACCCCATACTACGACGAGGAATGTTTAGGGTAAGGGTGATATAACGATTTGCTACAAGCACTGCTAAGCTCGTGTGTATATATCCTCACTAATTACTGAGGTCTGGCTGATTCCTTAGCTGTCTGTCACTTAACAGCCAAGCTACGCGAGAGGAAATTAACAACAGCAGTGATAATACTGCTTTGAAAAGAGAATTACCAGTCAGCCAATCCTTCAAGTGTATTTGTTATAACGCCTTAAACACTGGGTATTAAGAAATACCCTAGCGTTGTTAATCAAAACCCTTGCGCAATTATTCATTGGAAATAGTGCTCGAAAAGAAAAAAAGTATGAGAAGGTAAATCCGTTTACACCCAAGTGTGTCATAAGTAGGCTAGCAATATTACCGGACCAAAATAAAGTACACAACTGCTTGCAGAGTGAATGAATGGAGAAATCGAATTTTCCCGCTCTCACAACCACCCTATTCACGTCTTTTATACGCCTTGCAGATAATTTTATGACCTTCCATATTTACTTGCATTTAGTTAAATGATTTGTCTCAATGAAGACTGATTTAGACCACGTTACCGGCAATAGCCTCGAAATTGCCGATATGGAAGTGGTCAAAAAATGCTCTCAAAAGATATAAGCCGCAGTAAGAAAAGGATTAGCGAACAGCAAAAAAGAATATGATATCATTAAGGCTCATTACGGGCAAAATCAGTTTAAATAGAAATTATCCCTCATCCACCAGTTCCACTAGTGGAATAAACACTACGCACCATTCTGGTGAATTCACAGCACCTCGTGACAACAAAATCGGATTTGAAAGTCGCTATAATTTCGAAACACGCTAAAAGAATATATTTCAGAGTTAGAGAGATGGCCTTATTGAAAGTCACTACAATGGAAACTCAACAACTAGCCATTTGTCGCGTAATTTGGTGAAATTTGCAACAAAAAAACAATGATGAAATGCAATATCCTGAACCACAATCTGAAAGCTTAGGATTTAAACCTACCGAAAATCATACATGATATTGCTGCATGTTTACAACAGTGAACAACTTTTCTGACAAACCAAATCCCCCCCCCCACTCCCATTTTCAAATACCACAAATTCTCATTATTAAAGTGGTCAGGAATTTTCAAGGGCAAACCACCTTCTTATAACTCTAATACCCCATCTCTTACAAAGAGCGATAGAGCCAAATGGCATAGACTAAAATAATAATTCCCGAGTCTATTAAGAGGAAATACTTTTGACACTGCAAATGATGGAAGATTACACAGGAAGACAAATTCGCGTTTCTCCACCCTTTGTTGACCAAAGTTAACCAATAAAAGATTGGCCATTTCGTGCGTTGAGAGTATTAATTCAAGGTGGCCATGGAGATTTCGGAAATGCTTGTATTAATCCAGCACCAGATATCTCGATTAATGGATTGATGAAATGCACTAGACATTAATTCTAATTAAAGAAGGCACGGTTCTTGATTAAATATTTTAGTTAACGAAATAAAAATAAAGGGATCCATTTAAGACCTAATAAAATTGTGAAGATGCCAGAAAACGGATCCCATGAAAACGTACTTACTGCAAAGATTGCTTTTCAGAGGTATTTCAATTCGACCCAGAATAAAAGCACCATATGATGGCGTTTTATTGTCAATAGTAAGCATTACGTAAATATAGGTGAGCGTAAGTTTATCTTTGCTACATCTTACGGAGAGAAACATATAGTTTAATCAAAAGTGGCCATAATTAAAAAAAGGCAAAAGTAAAATGTGTAGACAACACGGAAACGCTGTGGTGTAGCAGTTAAAGGATATAAGAGGAAGAGGCCGAATAAAATTGGACAAATTATAAAGTTTTTTTCAACTAAAATACTGAAACAATCGGAATAAAAGTATGCCAAATTTCGAGCAATCTTTAGGTAAAAAGCAAAATAGATTTACTTTACAAACTATCTGATTTCCAACCGTAGATCATGGGAGGTATTTCAATTCTTCCTCAGCAATCCTGAAAAAACTAATTAACCGAAATGGAATTCTAAAGTGTCCTAAAAGTAAAGTGAACAAAAGGATGTCAAAAAAACGAATCCTCATAATTTATTCCAACTACACTTCGATAAATATCGAAAAATTGAAAGCCTCACGCCTCTATATCAAAAATAGAACCCACTGCTCCCCGGTTAATTGTGTTCAACCGGAAAGATGTCAAAAAGATGAGTTTCTAGCAGTGTACCTACTCTGGTAAGCTTAGTCACAATTACGATCAAGACAATTTTCTTAAGAAGGATATGACGAATTTTCTCTCCATTGAAAAAAGTGATACTTATTTCTAACTAAAATACACTGTTCACATATATCGCGATCTAGAGTGGTCAGATCTTTCGGATTTTTGACCACCTCCAAGCGACTGTAGAGCAGGAAACAGTAAGGAAGTGGGAGGTATTTTAAAGTATACTCCGTGATATGCCTACACTTACGGAGAAAGTTCAGATAACTAACTGGATTGGCTTACCAAATGTGAAAGTGATAAAATGGAAGCAGGTTAGTTTACAAGTAAAGTGCAACACTACTAACTACTGATGTTCGACAAACTTAAAAGTGCAAATTCTGTTTATCAACACAAATATAACCAAACCCGTCATAACTGACCATAAAATTCAATTATTTGCAACACTTGTTGTGATAAAAGCAGACATATTAAAAGGACTAACTCCGATCAAAAATCTAATGGGGGGCCATTTCAGGTTACCTCTTCGAATTGTTGAAATCGATTAATTTTGAGCATAGTTGGGGTGTCAAACCATGCCTCAGAGTACAGTAAATCTAGGAGAAATGGTTAATTCAATAAGAATGAAAATGGCAAAACGTCTTAAAATGATGGAAATCGAACAAAGTAGGAAAGTTCAACCCAAACATTGAATGGTAAATTTAATTAGAACTGCCACAAAATAAGTGCTGCTAGCCCAATACAGAGCTAGATATTGGAGTGAAATAATATCACCCTCTCAGGCCATGGACACCAGTCCTAAGTAGTAGGGAAATCTAAAGAGCATGTCTCCACATTTCAGTTGGAAGAAAACACTGCATTAGTGAGACTGGCCTGGTTACTGAAGGCCACACACTAAGATCATGCAGCGACAATTTTGCAAACAGTGGTCCGAGCGCGAGACTGATAGCATGCCGCCCACTGTGGCCTAGATTTAGATTGCGTATTGGAAAATAGCGTGAAATAGAGAGACGAAGTATATGAACGAAGGTTGAACTTACACACCCTGGGGATCAAGGCATTGAAAACAAGTCAGGAATCCCCAGGGCATGTAGTAACCTAGCAACAACAGTAGCAGAACAGGCAGCGTTGGCTAATTCGCCATCTAACTGGCAGTACGCGCCTAGCTACGCACACACGTTCTCTCGTGGGCTTGTGGCGCAAGGCAGCAGCAATTGCGTGTACCACCCTCGATATTTTGCCCACTATCTACAATGCTCTCTCCTTTTATTCGGAATAGAATTGACTTGCAATTCTATGAAATAAAACACCGTGATCGAAAATCAAAACTGATTTCCGTAATGTGCAATGAATCCATGCATGTAAGCGATTCAGCAGTAGAATAGGAAGTGACGGTAAGGCATGCGCGAGCCGTCTAGTAGAAAGCAATATACTCAACATAGATAAGGAAGTAAAGCATTCAAAACCTTGCATGATAAGGTCATCAATAAAGTTACCTGCTGTACAAGTTCCTTTGCATAACATATTCTTAAATTTGAGATAAGCATAAAAGCAGACGCAATACATTTAAAATTCCTTTCTAGAAAGCTATTCATGTACTTATTCGATTAATGCAATCTGAACACCAGCCTCATAGGTGGAAAATTATTTGGATATCAGGGGAAAAATGACTCCTGAAGACAATCGTTCAAAACATTCATAATTCCTTTGCTGTGTTCATCCATCAAAAGGGTTTATTAAATGCAGTTGTGCAATAGGCATTAATTCACCTTAACACAATCACAGTTTTTGATCCACTTCCAAATACTCCATTATAACTATCATTAGAGCGAGTTGCAGTCATAACCACTCCCCCTTCCCTTCCAATTATATATATATATATATACATTCAATTAGTATTATAGTAGCCGAAAAAAGGTTAATTTGATTCACAGGATCGTTTCTAAGACAAGATTTCTGAACAATTCCACAAAAAGAAGGAAGTCTCGTGTTCAATTCTCAAAAGAGTACACTGGAATATAAAACTTTTGAAACCTATTAATGAAAGTGCTGGCAAAACCTTACTTGCGCATAATGGAACCATTCTTCCTATTAATAAGCATTAATATGCTCGAAATACCACCACCAACACTGCTGGCTAAGTATCGATAAGCATAAATCATTCTCTCATCAGTGTTCCACAGGCAAACTCGAACAATATACCACCATTACCAAATGAGGCTTTATAAGTGAAAGTGGAGAAAACTATGTCAAAATAGCTAAATAAATGAAAAAGGAATAGAAGAAAATCATTGTCCCTCGTTTCCAAGCCAGGACAATCGCGCAAAATCCAGGGCAGTACCGGTGTGTATATGCAACATATATGAATAAGTTGCTCCAGTGTGTGCGTGCCTGCGAGCGCATACAGAAAGCAGTACCAGCAGTACGTGCGCTTGCTGGTGAGAGCGAGACACGTGTGGCTAGGAGGAAGGAACGGATATGATCAAGGTGAGGAAGAAAAGAGTGAAGAGGAGGAGTGGAGAGAGAAGGAGAGATTTTAACCGTGTCAATGGTAGCGCGCGCAAACCAATTGTAAACGATATATGAAACTGGACAAGGAGAAACAGACTAAGAACACATATTAGCGTGCTTTCATCTTCCTCTTTAAAAGCTAATGCTAAAACTATGAAGCCTCTGGAAGTCGTCTGGCCTAAATTAAAAGAAGACCATGAGGGTAAGAGATGGTTTGTGACAATCTGTGATCGCAAAGTTCGCAGGTGACTTGGCAAAGAAGATGAGAGCATAGTGCTCAAGAAACTGCCTATTATCACTAAGCGGTTGGAAGATGACTCCACTAAAGAGGTTGATCTTTATTTCCCCAACCATTCATTTTCATACTCTGACAGCATAAACTTTGTTCCTTGTAAACAACTAGTCATTCCCTTATTAATTAACTCAGTCAATTATTACTTGTCAATGTGACGATAGGAGCAAGACATGGCAGACTTCAGATCATTGAAGAGAAAGGAATTGAACTATAGATCACCTTTATATGAATATTGATACAGAACATTTTAAAGCGTTAAAGGAAAAGAACAGGCATGATAAATAAAATGTACCAAAGGCTAACACGGTTACTAGATGCTTCGATTTTAGAATAAATTCATTTGATCAGTACTCATGTTTATATAGAACTAGCCAAACAACAACCAAACATTTTAAAACTATGGAGTTAGAGATATACGAATTCTACCTGTTTCAAGAAATAGAAATGCGAAAACAAAAGAATAGAAACTGTATTCCGTGCGATTTTTCGTCTATAGGCACTCTATAAATGGAAGTCATAAGAAGAGGGAGTGGCAAAAAGTAAAGAAAAAACTTCTGTTTGGACTGCATAAATTCTCTTTTGGTGATAAGCTGACATGCTAAGCAGTCAAAGGTGCGCGTGAACCGGCAAGTGGTGTATAAACACTAAGGGAAACTTAATGATCATAAGTCTTAAGCTGTGAAATTTTCAATGACCAATTTGTAAAATTCCAGGGTATACACCTCAGGCCATAAACAATGCTGTGAACTGAAAATTGGCGCGCTTGCCTGGAGGACTGAATGTAAACCCAGAAATAGTTGGTATCACGTGGGTAAGAGTCGTACTCGTGGGCACAAACTAGAGGTAATCTGTAAAAAGGTCTAACATGGGCCAAATACAATATAAGCACAAAGATAGGGCAACACCACTAGTGGTTTGGTTAGCATTTCGAGAAAGCCAACGTGAAACAGAAAGACAGAGACCTTAGTAAAGAACAGGAAAGGGTAATAGAACAATAGAAGACTACAGCAGCTAAGTCGCGAACATGTTACGCTTAGGTTTAGAAAAAAGAAAGGGATCTAGAATGCGAACAATAGATATTACTGAGAGAGATGCTGTAACCCACTACACCTACAGCGCCACAGCTCTCCATAAGGCTACAGTTCGATTTAAGCTGTCCCTTAGCCCTCAGAGTGAATGCAAAGCTCAGTGAGACTAAACTAAAGCCAGTCCTCTATTACGTACATTCTACCAGATATTTGATAACAACCGACCTGAGGATCTTTCAAAAACCGCAAGAAGGCTAATTTCAGAGCTAAAACATTTAACTAACTGGCTTAGAGAATTACCTTCAGAAATTCAGCAACCAAGCTCAAACGAAACAGACTTCGCCTTGAGGATGCTATTGAAAAAATTTTATATTTTTCCTATCCTTAAGCATCTGAGTCACCACTTACAAAAATAAAACAAACTTACAGTCATAGAAAAGGCGAATCAGTCAAAACGAAAGGGAAATAGACGATTTCACTGGGCTGAAATGGTTATAACACCCAATGATGTCAATTCATTGTAAGTAGAAGAGATTGTCAGGACACATTAACATTCTATCACATTTTCGTTAGCACAAGTTAAGCAAATCGATAGAAATTAAGTGCTAGCAAAGACCATCTCAAAATAAAGGGCAAAACAGAATGAGGGGATAAAAAAAAACACATACAAAAATTCTTGTGATCAATCGATGTACTTTTAACCCTCTGGATGTATAATAAATAGATGAGAAGATTACTTCACAATGATTCGTGGCAATGGAAAAGGCTATGTAATTAGGCTAGTCTAATCGCTTACATAAGTTGAGAATAGCCAAACAGAATGACTCTATATCTCTACTAGAACTGATTTTCGTAAAACCGAATTGCAAAAGTGCGGAGGAATATAGATATTTCTTAACGATAACCACCCACAAGTAGTATGACTTAGCTTAACTTCCTCAAACTTAAACACAAAAAAGACCATTTAGGACACAACGATAAAACAAAAATCGGATTCAGTTCCTTTCTCAAGACTATTCTCAATTCATCGATTCAGTAGACAAACACAGGTGAAATTTGCATGTGAATTTGCTTAGAAGAGATAAAATATTAAAAAAGTGCCATAAAAAAGATAAAATAAACATCTCAATTCTAAACCAATAATATTGGAAAATCGCAGACTGTAAATTAACGTAAGTAATTGCTGCAAAGAAAGCACGATCAGAACGAAATTAAAAACAATATTGCTTACTCATGAATTCTATCGAACGCACATATAGACTCATACCTCAGTGTTGTCACAATTGGCAAATAATGATTCCTTAATTGATTAAACATCAGCAGGCAAACAAAAGAATGTAAAACGTTTCACCCATTTAATTCCAACTATTTCCCCTTTGGTCTGTTTTCTTCCTTCTCTTCTCTATGTGATTCAAAACACCTTTTGCCATCGACCTTAAATTAGTCTGCGAGAAAAAAATTGGTTGGCACTTTAACTTGATCAAGATAATAGATTTCAATAGATTTAATGCGATTAACCCGAAATACTCTAGGAATACTTGTATCCTCAAAGCCAAATTGCTAACCTAATCAAATCCAGCAGTGTTTCTTTAATTCAAAGCATTATTGCGTTTATGTATATTGTTCATCATTTAAACCAGATTTTCTAAGGTATTTTATCATCAATAAAGAAAATATTATTGAAAGAAATTTGGCGCAAATATGTTCATTACTCGAACAAAATAATATTTCGAAGAAATTCTCCGTTCCGCTCCTACACGTAGGAAATTAATTCTCACCACTGATGCATTACCAAAATAAATGTTATTTCCCCAAAAACACGTAAAAGGACCCATTCCATAATAAGTGAAAAATAACCAATATCGATGCAAATATCCTTTTTCAACAGGGTCTGTACAGCTAAAGCCTCGGCGTAAAGCAGTAAACACCCTGCAATATTACAGCACATTAACACAGTATAAAAGAAGCACAAAAAACTTTGAAAAAAAAACAATCACCGTATAAAGATGGCAGCTTTAATAAAAAAGTAGATTACGAAACAAAACCAGAATGTTTTTCAGACTAAACAGAATAAAGAATGCACTGACGTTGTTAATAGTAACAAAGACGTTGAAAAATATAAACAATTAAAATGAGGCCATTATTTTGTTGTTTCTATACTAATACGAACATAACACAAAAAAAAGGTTAAATAGCGATAATGCAAAAAATATTGAGATATAACATACGGAATCAGCCTTCTTATTCTTTCGGGAATTTGGACCGCACTGATAAGCTTTCTGTTCTCCAGGACGCTGCACAGTAACTCTACTCTTCTTTGGATCAAAGGGTGTCGATCCAACGAGAGAGCTTTTCTAGAATAAAGGATAGAAGTAAATTAAGAACAAGCAAAATGGGAGGCCACCACGGGCAAAAATAAGACTAGCCTTATGAGAACTGATGGAAACTGCTTCAATATTGCTAACCATATCCAAGTATTCCAAACTGTGGTTATGATTGGCAGACCCGGGTGAATTATTAGATCCGTTGACTGTCCCAGAAGCCATAACGAATGCGCTCAATTTAACAAATGATCTAAGAAAGAGTAACAAAATGGGAATGATTGGGAATTTACTAAATACAGGTATAACACTTTCGCAACCGTATAAGAATCTGTGCAAGTAAAATGAATAGAGAGCTACTTAAATTCAACACAAAATTGTGTGACTACCAAACGAAATCAATAGTAAAGAATTTATGTATCCAAGAAAATGTGATTACTGTCTATTTTAATTCATCTGCACGTCATTTAGCAAGAGATGTTAGACAGATGTGGCGGTATAAAGTATGTTTCTTGCCTATTCATTAAAACTAAAATCGGATATTTAAATATAAATGGCACAATTTTACTAGTAAAAACACTTTTATTCCGTCTCTATCATGCAGCTAATTTTCTAATTTAATTTATACAAATGCTAATTTAATACTGAAACATAATTTTTCGATTGGTTTTTATTTCCACTGGTGTTAAATTGTCTTATTTAATTGCAAGTAAATCAAATTCATTTGATTTTGTTGCATTATATAAATCAAAATATGCACATAATTTTCCAATTATGCCACTCATTTCAGTCCTGGAGTAGATTTTAAAGTCTTCAGAAAAATATCGCTAATGTAAATGCATAAAAGTGTTGTATGAGTAAACTCTAAAAATTTTGGCTATTCTGGCTTTTTGAATTTATCATATTAATAAACTGTTGGTAGGAACAATTCCTTGTGATCACCATTGACAAAGTTATTTCGATTCATAAATTGATAATTATTCACCTATTTACTGGTGTGGATGTCCGCGATGTGTATAATTACTGATGGTTTTATTTTTTCACTTGTTGTAAATTCGGCTCTATCCTGTAAATATCAATCGCTTTCACTCACTTTATTTCCAATTTTCTTACTCCGCCTCGCTCAACACACCAAAACAACTCGCGGCCATATATTCCATTGACTGTACAGATGTTACTAACTAGGCTGGACCCAGGCGATACATTACTTTAATAGAATGTTAGCCTCTTGTTATCCGAGAAGGACCCTAAACACACCAATGTTCTTTCCAGAATGGTCTAATGCACTTGCTTATTCACAGATCAGCGCTTAGAGCGTCATATTTTCTGACAACGAACAATAGTCAATTGGCCTCAGTTACTAAATCTCCGAAATATTATACTTCATATTCCACCCTTACTCCCCTGGTTCGCATTTTAGGGTAGCCTTTAGCAACTACAAAAAATCGTAATTTCTTGTATTTAATTTCTATGATAGCTCGAATTCACATGAAGACTTCTGATATTTTATTTATTCGGTTAACCAGGTTACATGATTTTAACTTCTCAATAACGTCTTTATTTTAGAATCACTTACTGAGCTCCATATGGTTTTTGTTAATTGAAGTAAGATGATATACAGTACAATTTTCGCCAAATTATAACCGAAGTCTAAATGTGAGCATCTTGAGTCTGGATAAAGTTCGAAGAACAACTGCAATGCCTTAGCTCCAAGTGTGAGTGAAAATCATGGAACCCGAATAATTCTTCCGTGTTATATGAGCAATGCCGTCCATCTAGTTCTCGGGAATTTTTTTTCTAAGGTTGAAATATCAACATAATGGAAGCATTGATGAAGGTGGAAAACAAATATGAAATTGGACTAAACTAATACTGCGCAGGAGTTCATAAAGATTATTAGAATTCTGCAGAATTAAATGAACTCAGTTCCCCAGTTTGCCTCAAACGGTGACTGAGTTTCTCACAAACCAAGTCACAATTTGGGGAGAAAGTCTACGAAGTACCAACGCGGGTTCCCGCCTACTTCAACTTCGACTGATCCATTCCTGGAAGAAAACCACCCAAGGAAGGACAATCTCCTTTGCACTTAAAAAATGGGAACGTTTCAGACGGGTTAGGCTGTAAGGTTCACCTCTCGCGCTACAGGCGCGTCAGACCGATCATCAAAATGAATGAACCAAGAAGGTCACTCACACGTTCGAGCCCCGGTCTCTCTAAATATGCTCTATGAAAAAAACGCCACTTGACGGAACCGCATCTCAAATTTCAGAATCTCTAAATTAGAGTTTATTCTTATTTCATACCACTCTCAAATAGGCACACGATATGCCTTCATATTTTAATAATTCATTTCTTCTTTACATGGTATCTTCTGTAGAACGAGCAAATAATTTGATCTTTTAATAAGTAGTATGCTAGCAACAAAAATTTGCGATCATTTCCACCGTTTAGCTTGTGACCCATTCCTCATGTTTAAGCCTTTGAATCGTCATCCATATGAAAACCAATCTAATCTTATTTAGCATAAGTGACTCTCTGATGAGTTCAATTACTAAATACGTACCGAAAAATTCTTTCATCTTTACAGAAATTATATTATGTACAAAATTACAATTAAAGCAGAATAATTTAATATTCATCATCTGAGTGAACAACAGTAGGACGGTTGAGGCCAGCCGACTTTCGAGCCAAATATCGTTTCCTAGCTTCCTGAATCTCTTCATCTGTAATCTGTCGCGGTTTGGCCAGAATAAAACCTGGAGGAGGCGGAGATTGATCAACTTTCTTCCCCACCTCCTTCGTCGCAGTTTTTTCACCACCATCTTTCCTCCGGTTTTCTCGATTTTTGCGATCATTGAAGACAGAATGACGATGCCTGGAGCTATGCTTCTCGGGGCTACTGGAATGACGTCGATGATGATTGTGATGTGAAGACGACGAGGAATGCTTATTTTTATCTGGCCGATGTCCAACATGTTCGCTTCGGCGACTTGACTAAAATCAAAAAAATAACAGATTAGCAAAATTTTGTTAAATCATTATTCATTGGTACCTAACATTTTGATCTTAGTCGTCATTAATGTCTGAAACATAACTATCTTGATCATAGAATGGCCCTTAATTCCATGGTGATCTCAAGTTCCCCGCGGCATAAGTAAGTGCATTGAAACATTTAAGAAAATGAAATCGTGGTACCAATCAAGTTGCGAGCAAGTGCAGCATGTTCATCAGATAGTAAAATTGATCGAATTTAGTGACTAAGTATGTTGGCAATTTCACAACACTCGATTGGCAATTCTCTGCCCATACACTTCCCCCTCTTCACTCTTATTCGTCCTATCCCTCGCTGTGGTTTATTCAACATAGGTTGGTGCACACAACTATTTGTCCTACGTTTATTTACCAACGGTTGCCTGTTGCTATTAGCTGCTAAAGTATGCTTCTGATTCATTAGCTCCCACATTTTGGTAGCTCAACAAATTGGTGACCTTCGTTTCGGTTAACCCATAAATGAACTCCCCATGGGAAAGAAAGCAATCGACTTACATACAATCCGTAATATAACGTATTTATTCAAATTCGGGTGTCTAGCCACAAATAAAAATACTTTAAATGTCTACAGTGGCTTAATTGATGGATTTCTACTGACTTAAAATCTTCCCACTTTAAACATTGGTGAGCATCTATACTACTTGTCTTTACCTAACCTTTCCCACTAACCAATCTAAATAAGCCAGTTTGTTAATGGTCCGCTACCCACAAACCTATAGATACACCCTTTTATTTCCCTTTAGCGGTTCCTGTTTTCTTCCAAGAAACTCGACTTAACCCTATTCTGAGTTCTCAATCTACCCAGATATCATAGTAGCCGGTAAAATATCTAGGGGAAATCAGAAACCGTAGCTACTACACAGCCTAGCGCGGACATATCAGTTATCATTAGGAAGTACTAACCGTGTATTGTGACAAAATGATGATATAAAAAGAGAATGTATGATTGGATGATAAGGTAAAGCAGGAACGATTCATTGCTCCAATGTTATAAGTTAGTAAGCCAACAAAGACTTCAATGATAACTAATGTCTAGGAGTATGACGTCGAATATAATTCCTAACTAACCGACATTTAAAAATGACTATTGATTCATCGTTGGGTCCTCAAAAACCCAGTTCATTCTTTAATTAAACTAATACTAACCTCGGGTCGTGGTAATCTCGGTTTAGATCACTAAGTTATAAACCTTTCCCGTTCATAACACAAATGAGTATGTTGAACTGAAATCATGGACAAGTGCATCCATTTCAAACAAGAAACAACTAAATACGATAGCTAACCTGGCGCTGATAATCTCTGTATAGCGCGCCAACAAACACATACTTCAAATAATTTAGACCTCCACCTCTAGGAGTTAGGGGAGTAACCCGGGATAGTAAGTGATTTCAGTGGCAGAATTACCCAAACTTCCCTAACTATGTGCCATTCTAAAGTTGACTTTTTCTTAACAAATAAATCGAACATGTAACATTAGAGAAACGTAGCACCTACCTCAGTTCGATATTCCTTGTAACGCGGAGGTGATGAGGGATTTCGAGTTCGAGATGATGAGGGTATATATCGCTCTCTATCATTCTCCTGGCGATATTTGCTATTTGGTGGAGATAGAGACGATGACGGTTTTTCTGATTTCTCATCCTGTAGACGATAATAAAAGCATACAATTACACAGACCACATTTTCTAGCCCAAATTCTCTTCTGCACATCTCCACCAATATAAAAAGTTTTACAACCACAATAACTAAATGACATTTTACGATTTGTAATATAAACATAAAAAACAACTCGCGGCAGATTCAAGATAGCAAATATTGAATAAAGGTAAAGAAGGGATTAGAGAATCCCACATGGGTCACTATTAGCAAATATTACTAAGGTAATAGAGAAGCTGTACAATATAATGCAGATCTAGCCAAGTTATAGATTGAACCACAACTCCATTTAACAAACCGAGATTTCGACCAACAATGAACATCAAGTAGACGGCAAGTATCTAGGATGCCTAAATACAAGTCGTAAAAAATTGACTAGCAAATAATCCATGGCCTAAATTCTCACTGATATAAAACCAGTGGAACCAAAAATTCACTTACCTTTTTAGAGGCGACATCTTGCGATTTCGAGCCAGGCTTAGAATCAGTTTTCTGTTGATACATATACCGATAGAATCCTCCCAAACCGTCCTGTTTCGTAATATCCATAACATCCTCAATCGCTTCTTCCTGGCGACGCTTTTCAACAAGTTCTCTTAACTCAGCCATTTTCGCTTTATATGCTCCTGTTACAAAGGACTCCTTATCAGCATACTTATCCTTTTCAGCTTCAAGTTCTCTTTGTGCCTTTCGTTCGTTATGAAGCTCCTTCTCAAGTTTCCTAACTGCGGAAACTTCGAGGAGTTTATTTACGTACCTCGACTATAAAATTTAAAATTAAATTATTACAAAAAAGTTCAGAAAATGCATTGAAAGTAAAAAAGAGCTAACTTTTCTTGCAGTGGGCATACTCTTCTCTGAAATTTTATGCTCCTTTTCTCGAGTTATCTCGTCATAGACTTCATCATACTGAAAAACGGAGGCGTCTTCTTCGAGAGCTTTTTCAAGATTAATTTTTGTCTAAATAGCACGTTAACAGAAAAGAAAGAATAAAGCATACTGATTTGCGCAGACTAGCCTTCAAAGTTTCCATCTTGACATCAAAACTCGGATGTTTCTAAAGGGAAAATTTAATGAGAAATTTGGCATACGAATTTAGCATCCTCTTCTTCTTCCGATTCTTCGCCGAAAACATTTTTTTCAGGAACAATTTTAGCTGGTTCCCGATTAGGCTTTTTATTTGGAATAATTAGACCATATTGGTTACCGGTTATATTATTCAGAGACATTTACTACAATGATGAAAACACAAGTAAATAAAATATCCAAAAACTAATATGGAAAATTATAAAATTGATATTTTGATAAAATGAAAACTAGCACTCCTTACTACAAACGAAAAGAACCCCACCAGAAGGTGATTTGAGGAAGCCAGCCAGTCACCTAGCTATTCTAACAAAAATACTATTAGCTAGTGATACGATAAAATAAATTTGTTAAAAACCACTTTAACTATAATTTCTATTTATAAATAACTAAATAAATTCAAATTGTGATTCAGTACTCAATGTAATCAAATATATACATAATTAAGGAAATTCATTTGATTTTAAGCGTCATTCCTTTAAAGGCTCATATCTTTATACATCTAAAGACAAATTAATTTCAAATTTATTGGTAGGTATGAAAAAATTTAAGAAGGTTCGCCCATTCTCATTATTTTTACTTTATTTTCTATCCACTTGAATGGTGCAAAAAAATTGGTGCATGCGTATGCACGTAAAATTTGTCATTGCTTTAAATATACCTATTTGAACTTTATAAATTTTTGTTCTATAAAATGGAATACATTTGGCACTTTTAACCGAAACCATATTTTTAATTATCTATATCTCCTGCGATTCTAATCTTTCAAATTCTGATGGAAGTATCTGAATATTTTTTGCTTAAAAATATCATTTTATTTGAATTCTACTTCTTTTGCAGGCATTAGTGACTTTCGGACATGATGATTTAGTTGACCAATATTCTAAAACTCAAAAATGGTACTATAGAAACTTAAGTAGTGAGCATAAAAGCATGAGTCAATTAATTCTAATCGTCGATATTACCATGAATTGAACATTTCAACATCAAAGCATTGACTTTTAATCTTATTCATGGGAATTTTTAACAAACTTCGGGGAACGAGTTTGGAATACACGTATGTATGATTTAATGACGCATAAAAATAATCAACGTTAATTACAAATGAAAAATGTATTTGTTTTCTGAGTTTTATAAACTACGTATTTTCGCTGCTCAGTTGTTATTTTATGATTTGGAATTGGATAGAACCCTCCAAGAATAGTTTCTTGTATATCTTAAACCATTATCGATGATCATGCATCAATCATAGAATACTTTCATCTGAAATAAACGCAACGCCGTGCTTTGACTTACTTCCATTAATTTGTACGATATATTGTTTGCACAATCAAAATTAAAGACTGCCTCATCCTGTATAATGTGTTCGGTGAAATTTTATTATTATCCAGATAGTAATATGTGGAATCGAATGGATGAAGATATTTACTTTTATAACAAATGACAGGCGTTTTGATAGTTATCGTTAGCCCTTTATTTGACTTTGGGCTTCACAGAAGGGAGGAGGAACATCAAAGTGAGAAGAATTCTGGAGAGGGAATAGAAGAGTGTTTCACAGATGTAAAAGAAACAGACAGACACAAAGGTTCAGAAAGGGTAAGCAGGGTAAAAGAAACAGACACAAAGGCTCAGAAAGGGTAAGATTAAAGAAGGGAGAGGGAATAGAAGAGTGTTTCACAGATGTAAAAGAAACAGACAGACACAAAGGTTCAGAAAGGGTAAGGTGAGTACTGTGTTGGGGTCGAGTATGACACACAGTGGGGGTGATGCTAGTTTGAAGTGAGTAGTCAATTGCCGTTTAATAGACTTTATTTGCCGCATGATTATACGTTGACCAGGGGGCACCACGAGGATAATGTTATAAACAAGTGCAACATATGAAGATTATGAGAATTCAATTGGCGAATAATGAGGTTAGGGCGTGGTATCGCCCATACGGTTACAAGGGATGTTGTTAACTTACTAATATTGTCATGCTCAAATTTCTTGAAAGAAAATTGCCTTGGCTGGACAGTTTCAAATTCGTCCTTTGAAAACGTTTTTCGGTGTAGATAAGTACATTTAGCAAAATAATGCGCTTTAAAATTTTTATTTCCTTTTTTGCTTTTTTAAGTTTAAGTTGAGCAATTTATATGTGCCATGGTTCTTATAACGACGTCGGGTATT